AATTAGATTTATGTAAATACAATTATAGTAAACTGTAATACAAATAGTAAATTCAGTGACCAAATCGTATAAATTTCGTGATAAAATCAGTGATCAAATCATGTAAATTCCATATAAATCCCCGTATCCAAACCATATTTTTGGTGATACGGAATTGTGCATTTTTCCGTATCCTATTATGATACGTTATTTCTAAGGAAAAAAAATCGTATAAAAACTTTATAAAAAACGTATCCAATTTTTTTATAGGGAAGTGACTGTATCATTTAATTGGTAAAAATGACCATGAATTGTTATTGCTTCTATAAAAAATTCTATCCATCATTTCTGTAAAAACTCTGTAAAAATGAGCTTTTCACGGATCCATTCAAGAAAAATGTAAATAATTCGTTAAATTCCGTGATATGAGGTTACTAATTTCGAAAATAGTAAGAGCCTCTCATGGAAAGATAATGGAATATAAAAACGGATCGGCTATATCACATTCTTGATCTTTGGGCATATCATACATTTTGATCTTTTGTATCTATTAAGTTTTAATTTTTGGGATCTTTTATTAAAACTCACGTGATTTGCGCATCACGTGATATTGCGATGTATTAAAATCGATTATAGTAACCGAATTAAAAATTCACGCAAAGTAATTTACATGGGATCAAATAGAAGTGATTGAGACTTTTTTTTTTGAATAATCATGAATTCTTTTTTTTTAATAAAAATTGTCTAACTTTATGCAGTCGGATCTCTATGTACTGATACTGTTGTTTTGGGAAAAATATATCTGATATTGGTATATTAAATTATCATTACATATAGGTCATCAGTATCTAGGAATCAGAACAGATGAACTGAGCGGTTTTCTTTTAACTATAGTAATACATTCAATAAAATTAATATTATCTAAGACCAAATTATTAATCCTAAATGTCATACTTAGACTGCTAAACGTCGTGAAGTGCATCTTACAAATAATCGTGAATGAAATAACAGAGAAAGCTCATAAGCGAACGTAAAACGAACAAAAATGAGCAATATTTATTTCTTGAGAAAACATAATTTTAAATTTTGCGTTACGCACGGAAGTATAAACATAGAAAAATACAGAGTAGTTCATTCCTCTTATCATGTGAGCGTTAATCATTCTGCCTGCTTTCTAAAATAAAAATATAAAAATAAAAAAAAAATTCTTTCATAAAAATATTCTTTCAAAAATCTTTACCAATCTATTTAATAAAATTGATCACCTATTAATTGCCATGTAAAATCAAAAATATTTGGTTCAATTGTAACGTTCCATAGAACTGCGCCTAATTATTGAAACATGTTGCACACAATTAATCGACATGAATTGTGCGACAATATCGCATATAAATTACCCAGTTCGGTATAATTTGATACTTCCTCCCCCTTTTCAATTACAATATGTCATGTTCAAAAATATTTTCAGGGGATCTACCTGAATTAACATATGAAATTATAAAATTTTTTCAGAATGATCATTCAACTTTATATTCATGCATTTTAGTTAACAGATTATGGTGTCGTTTAACAATTCCATTATTATGGGAAAATCCATTTTCAATTTGTACCGGAAACAATGATTTTATTGAAATTTATTTACATAATAATTTAAATAATGATTTTATAACAATATTAAATGAATATAAAATTTTTAATAATTCATTATCTACGAATACACTGTTCAATTACCCTAGTTTTTTAAAATATTTGAATACACATAAGTTTATATATTATGTTGATAAGTGGGTTGATTATGTTATGAGGAATTCAAAATTCAAAACTAATTACCTTTTTAAACATTTTGATTCGGTATCTAAGTTAATATTTAAAATTTTTATTGAAAATGAAATAAAATTACATACTCTCGAAATTGATAATTCAGGTACTTATTATAGCGCATATTTTAAAGAAATTCTTGAATTAATTTTACAAAATCAAAATTTTATTCACAATATTGGAAATTTGAAGCTTTATATCTACAATTATGATGAAAATATGGATCGTGTATTACAAATAACTCATTTACATCAAAATCTTAAGAAAATTATAATATGTAAGAATTGTACATCTTTATATCAATCATTATTATTATCAAAAGATTATAATTGTTCAAATACCTTGAATACAATTACTTTCTATTGTCATATTATTTATTGTTATTTCTTGAATAATAGTTTTACTATACCATTTAAATTAAAATCTTTAATTTTTAATGATAAGGTACCACAAATTGAAACATTACAACAATTATTACAATTATCTGGTGATTATTTGGAAAATTTCAGCAGTTCTATATCAATAAAACAAGTATTGTTAGAATTAATTATAAAGTATTGTAAGAATATCAAATTTCTTAATTTACATGAATTTGAAAACCATATTACTTATAAAATATTTGATTTAATTGACAATATTAAACAAAATCTTAATTATCTTTCAATCAATATACAGGAAGATTATCATTTAACAAATGGTAGTTCAATCATATTAAATAATCTAGGACAAGCTCTCCCTTCTAAATTAGAATACCTAAATTTGGAACTTAATGTTAAAGGAAGTGATTTTAGGACATTCTTAAAAAATTCTCAAGATGTTTTTATTAATAAATTATTAATAAGACTACGAGGAGATAGTGATGATATTTCACATTATATGAAGGAATATATTATGAAGGGAAAAAGAGTTAAATATTTGGCTATTAAGGGTATTAAAAATGGTAATCAATTGTCTGAGGAATTCAAGTTATATAATATTGAAGTTCGAAGTTATGATGATTTATTTATTTCCATTACTAACTTTATTAAGAATAATTATTAGTTATTAAGATGAATAATCATATATAAATATTTATAAATTATTGCAATTGATTAAATAAAGTTGTTTTTATTCCAATCGCTTTATTCAATTATTTCAATGTAAGTGATATATGAAAATACAAATACGTCACAAAGTCCACTCATTGAAGTGTAATGCAGATACAAGGATTAAAAATAAATTAAATATATAAATAACAAAGCGCACTTAATGAATATAACTATGGATTGTCATTGTCATGTATGATGACTTCACCCCATTTGTTTCATTTTCTTATATTAATTTTTTATTTTATATTTTGTTTTTATATATTTTATCCCATATATTTTTTATTCTATATATTTTATCCCCTATTGTTAATTTAATTTTTTTGATCAAATCGGAAAAAAATTAATTAGGGAATTTTCGCGCTCATTCTTTATAATATTTCTACCATCAAATTCTTATTATAATTTTCGAATTTTTTTATTAATTATTTCAAGTAGTCATAGTAATCATTTCAAAAGTCATCAAACATTAACAAAAAAAAAAAGAATTCATCATTTTTATTAAAAATAAAAAATGTTTTCGTTGAAATTCTGCACTGCGTAATTTTTTAAGAATAATTTTTTTTCTCGGTTTTCTCACATACATATCAAAAAATTGTGAATCTAATATTGTGAAACTAAAATAGTGAAACTAAAACCGGTTTAAACCTTTTATTAATATGATTACAAAATTTTGTAAATTATAGTTTAAATACAAGATGTATAATAGATGAAAAATTAATATCTTATAATTGTTTAATATCGAGAATTTTTGTTGGATCTTCTTCATTGAATTTATCAATTTCACTTATTATTATTTTCGATTTTTTCAATACTGAAAAATAATTTTTAAAAAATGACAATTACTATTGCAGTACATCATCATTTGTTAAATACTACATGACAAAGGATAAATCGCAATTGTAGATCATGATGAAATAATTCTAAATCAAAATATTTAGAAAATGACTTTGAATAATTATGAATGAAAAGATCATTTTGGGAGATACCTCAAAAGTCATTATATACAGATTCTTATATTAAATAACAGATCAATCAGATCTCCCCAAAAATTAGGATACGAATTTTGAGAATAATTTTTGAAATTTAGGATAAATATTTAACCATTATTTAGTATTATTAAACCAAGCATATTATTGTATTTATTTATATTATTAATAAAAGTATTATTTTGTTAAGCCTAAGGTGGCAACATGATTTATTACGGGCTTAGGTCTTACACCAGCTGTAAATCAGTTTTAATTGTCCGGAGAATGAAAATTAATACATAAACTAGGGATTAATCCAGAGTAGCCGGTCATAAATCCAGGGTACTATCCTAAATGCATCCAGGGTAACTATCCAGGATTTTTGATCAGTATGGTGCTTCATACCTAACGTTTAGATTAGCCTATATGAATTGTCTAACACATGATTTGTCTGTGCCTAAACTATTCCGTATTCATATAGTAGTTGATCAGCAAATCCATGTTGATTACTAACATAAAATATTTTAAATTATTTTTTAAATTGTAAAATTTTTAAAATCAATATTGCTCTTCTTTTTATGATTAGTAATTTTTTTTATTTTTGTTTTTTTAAATATAATAGATTAACTTTGGGATTTTTTTTCATTTAATTTTTTTATTTTTTAAACAATTTTTTTTTTAACGATAGATCATTTAATAATTTTTTTTTAATAGATAGTTTAGTAACTTTTTTTATCCCATCAGTATTATGTATACACCGATGGACAGATTTTTTTGTAAATTATTCCACCGGTATAGAAAAAGTATAAAAAGGTATAAAATCCATCAGTGTATACATCATACATAATGAGATAAACCTGTTATTCCATGGGTATCTAATAAATACTCCATATACACTGATGCTCCTCTCCCTTTGAGGGGGCCTCCAAGGCATCAGTGAATATTTCAGTTGTTCATTGATACCCATGGAATAACAAGTATTTATATTTTAATAGATCATTTAGTTATTTTTTATATTATTTTTTTTAACAATAGAATCGTTTAGTAATTTTCATTCATTTTTTTTTTTAATGATAGACTGTTTAAAAATTTTTATTTATTTTTAAGATTTTTTTTTAATTTAAAAATTTTTTTTAACAACAGATCAGATTTTTTTTTCATTAGAAATTTTTTTTCTAACAATAGATCGGACTTTGCCCTTTCTTTATGTTAAAAAATAAATATAAACTAACAATTAAAAATTACATTATTATAGAATTGCCCATTCTTTACCTTTACCAATACATTGGTCCATTGCTATATCAAAATTCTCCCTAATTGAAAAAGATAAAGTAAATATCTTTTTTTCTTTTTTCTTATTATTAAACACCTTTTAAATGCCTTTATTAATATGAAAATAATATTTATATAAAATACATTATGCATAAAAGTATTGATCACAAGTATAAGAATTGCATCATTGCATATTATATGACAAACAAATTTTGTATAACTGGAATGTACACAGCGAAATTCAATAAACCAGATCTATCAGTTCTACTAAAAATATCTGGTTTATCGAAATATCTGGTATAGCAAAAAAATTTCAATATACTGAAAATCTATTATACAAAAAATTTTCATCCTAATAAAACTAATATATGCTATAATTTAAGTTTTTCATCTTAGTTCTAAGTCATAAAGTTCATGAAAATGAATATAAAATATTTTTAATTGAAGATATTATATCTTTTCAATAATTAAATATTGGTGTAATTATGAGTAATAATAAAAAACATAGAAAGATTTACTAGAAAAACATGATAAGGAAAACAGACAAATTTACAAGCTACTTAAGCTACTCGCATCATCTCAAACATGATAATCAGATTGGATGCTTTACACTGCGAGATAATTAGACCCTGAGCAATACAAATTTAATAAATTAAATCATCGATAAAAAGGTAACATAGCATCAACTTAATAAATTATCTAAAGTATGCTAATAATTTTGATCCAGTATTAAATAAACGAATCAATAAATAGAGTAAAATAATACCAAAAAGAAAATTTATTAATAATGTACAGACCAAGTGACAAGAGTTCAGTTATATATGTTCTCAAGTAAAAAACATGTATCTTTTAATATTTTATTCTTGGATATTTTAATTATTATGGAATTAAAATGGTCAAAAGAATCTTTTATGATATGATTATGATAAAAGATTTGCAAAAAGTATATTGAATCGAATAGGAAACTTGACAGATTAATTATTAAAATTTAAATTTTAAAATTTTCAAATATTAGATGTATTTATTAAATATTTTTACTAATTAGACAGTATTTTTTTAACGATTAACATTAATAATTAATATATATATATATATATACTATATATATATTTGCTTTGCTCAAAATCCACAGCTATTTATTAACGTACTGTACATCTTTTATTAAAAACACCAAAAGTGTACACTTTTGGAAGCAATAGATAAAATTAAAAATATAATAATATTACTGATTTGTCTAATCATATTGACTTATTAATGGGTTCTGCTGATTATCAGGAAAATACCTACAAATCAAAAAGCACTGATGTATGAGTAACACAGGTCACTGTAACGATTAATTAGCAAAAAGGAATTTATAAATAGTCTATCAAGAAATGAATAGGAATTAATGAATTTAATGTCACTCTTATTAGGGACTGCCAATCAGATACAACCACCCTACTTAACATACTTTCCTCCAGGTTTACAAAAGAAATAAGAATGGTGATCCTTATCATTAATTACAGCCATAGGAAGATTTGGAAGATGGTAAAATTTTACCAGGTTTTACTTTAGAATTGTGGCCTATTGATGATATTATTGCATAGATAATATAATATATGTTATAATAGTTGTTGTTAAATATCTCATTTTTAATATTTCATTATTTTTTAGGAAATAGATTATGAAGAAGATAGTGATGAAGATGATGATGATGAAAAAGTATACCCTTACTGTAAGGCAATGCCTCTCAAATAGTTAAACATATACAAAATAAACATAATTGATGAATGGCACAGAAGATCACCTATCTTGTGTATACCAAAGAGAAAATACCCATGTATTTTAGAAAGATCAGTAAAGAAATTTTATTGTAAAATAATAAATAAGATTTTTAAATATGATTATCATATATTATGCATTTCAGCATTTATAGGATTATATGTATATTTATAGGATTTATGTTATAACTATTCACTTTAATATTTTTATAATATTACTGTTCTTTAATATTTTTATATTTGGGTTTTGAACATTATATAATTTTTTTTTTTTAAAATGTTGAATCATGTACCATTTTATTAGAATATATTTGATCAAACATTAGATATTATATTGCAAATAAATTAAGAATAAAATTAAATAATAAAAGTAAATCAAAATAAACTAAAAATTAAACCAAAATAAAATATCATGAACTAAACATTAAACCAAATAATATACTATAAACCAAAACTAAACTAAAAAGAAAAATAAAAGTAAAATAAAATTGTAAATAATATTATAAATAAGAATAAAATTAAAAAAGAATAAAAAATTAAAATTATTTTCTTTTTAAACTATTAATCCAATAATTTTTTGCTTATGTATAATATAACCTTATCGAACTTCTTCTTTATTGGAATCCAATCCTCACATATGTATTTCTTTATAAAGGTACTATCCATTGATTTCTTTACCAAAGGAATTGACTTTTTTATTCGATCTACTTTTCTTATTTGTATATCTTTTGCTTTATCTGAAAGTTGATTTAATTTGTCCTTTATTTTGGATTCTGAAGTAATTTTATGCCTTTTCTCTTTTCCCATAAAACTTGTTCACATCTTAGTTTCCATATTAATTATTTAATACTAAAATGAACCGAATTAAGATATTAGCTATAAGTATCTGTGCCTCAGTAAGAGATATCTTAAATTCTTTTTGCAATTTTGTTGTTAAGAAAGTTTCAACTTTCACTTCCAATGCCAAGTGTTGGAACTTTTGGAATTTTTCTGACCTTGTAACTTCTAATATATTTTGTAATATATTTCTAATAAAATCTTCACCTTGACATCTAATTTGCTTTTGTTTTAAACACATAATTATAGATTCTTCTGTTGTAATTTCCAAAATTTTTTGCCAAGTCAATTCATAGGCCTGGCATTCAAATAAGTGATTCCATTTCATCTCTTTATAAAGCTTTGGCTTTCTTAATGCTAGAATGAATCCTAAAGGAAGAATTTTATAAAATAGTTTTGCTATAAAAGTCCACAAGTAGTTAATTTGACATTATATAATTATATAATATATATATTTTTTATATTATGACAAAGTAACAAGAAAATTATATTAAAAGGCTTAAATTATTATTTTTTTTTTTTTACCATATTTATTAATAATTTTTTCTACAGCATGTAACAGGTGCCTCCATTCATAAAGTTTGATGTCTTTCTCCACATTTCTTGGTTTTGCAAATGAATAGGACATCAAATCTTTATATATTTCATCACCATCATTCTTATTTTTACCAACTGTTATTGGTTTATATTCTTCAAGATTACGACGAATTCGATTCTTTTCATCTGAAGTAAGTCTAATTCCTGTTAGACTTTCAAGTAAATTTAGGTAATCCGTTGAAGTGAAATACCATTTATCACATTGTATTTTCTTATCATACCAATAAAGGCAGGAAACAAAAATACCATTTTTAGGCTGTTCAATTAGATCAACAGCTTTAAAAGAAGCCATAATTCGTTTTTTTGCTCTAATATTAAAAAATTGAACCACTCTTCGTCGAACATTCAACTCTTCTTGAGACCATGACTGTGTCATATCATTATGATTTCCATCAAAGGAAATTCGGACACCATTAAGCAAATCAGTCAAACTTTCCAAGGTAAAGATTCGAATCTTATGTTTATGATCTGTAGGACGGCTTGACTGAACTATAGGTTGTTCTGTAGATACATTAATAAAAGAAAAAAATAATAATTTAATAATGTACTATAAGATAAATTATAAAACTTTTTATACGTACCATCTGAAATTGATGCATCTAAGATTGATGCATCTGAAATTGATGCATTTGAAATTGATGAAATTGATACATCTGAAATTGATGCATCTGAAATTGTTGACAAATTTGAAGTTATTGGATAATTATCGTAAGGAATCTCAGATGAATTGTTATTATCGCTTAATGCATTTGAAATTGATGAAATTGATGCATCTGAAATTGTTGACAAATCTGAAGTTATCGGATAATAACAATAATTATCATAAGGAATCTCAGATGAATTGTTATTATCACTTAATGCATTTGAAATTGATGAAATTGATACATCTGAAATTGATGCATCTGAAATTGTTGACAAATCTGAAGTTATCGGATAATAACAATAATTATCATAAGGAATCTCAGATGAATTGTTATTATCACTTAATGCATTTGAAATTGATGAAATTGATACATCTGAAATTGTTGACAAATCTGAAGTTATCGGATAATAGCAATAATTATCATAAGGAATCTCAGATAAAGTTAATGAATAATCTATAAAATTTTTTAAAAAATATATAATTAATTTTTATCAATTTGAGACGAACATAAATTTATATTACATAAAAAATATATATATATATATACCAATTATATTCATTGTAAAAGGAGAGAAGAGATAAAAAAAGAGAGGATAGGTTATTTGGAAATAATAAAAATGAGGTGGGAAGAGAAGGAAATGGGACAAAAGAGAGAGGATGAATTTTTTTAAAGATTTTTTTTGGGTGGAATGGAAAGGTATTTTATATAAAAAATTATGTCATACAAAAGATTTTTTCCCACGGAGTTTGCTATAGTCAGAGTATCTCAGAGCATCAGAGTATAAAAAATTTTGTGTCATGACTCATTCTCATAACACGCTTTGAGAGTTGAGACGCGATTTATATATTAGAAATATATTATTTTTGAGTCATACAAAGGGAGTTTGCAAATAAATAGAGATTTTTTAGTAAAAGAATTTTTAGATGACTCAATGACTCATGATTATTGATCATTTTATACATGAGGTCATGCATAATACGCTTTTATACATGAGACAATTGAGACGCGATTTATATATTAGAAATATATTGGATTTTTTCCCATGTTTGCAAATCAATATAGATTTTTCAGTAAAAAAATTTTTAGATGACTCTGATTATTGATCATGTACATGCAAATATGAGTAATAATGAAAAACGTAGAGTAATTTTAAATAATATTGTCATATTTATTAATTTTTTGTAAGATTTTTTTTTTCTTTTTTGGTAAAAAAAAAATGACACTATATGAATTAAAAATTATAATTTGTCATTATTTCTGAATAAAGCTACTTTTTATTGATTTTTACCATATGATTACTATATATGATATATATATTATACTAATAAATTTTTTCTATTGTTTGTAGTAGAGAAACTGCGTTTAAATTAAATAGATTGTAAAGAAAATTCTGATTTTTTTGTTCTAATGCAACTCAGTATAAATTATAATAAATTAAAGAACTTGTTTATTTAATATTTCGTGCGAAAAATGAAAAACTCTTTTCCCGATTCCTTGTACAAAATTTTTTCATCAGATAACGTACTAAATAGAAGGAGTTAATAAAGCCAAAATGGAGTCGAATTATACAAGAGAACAGAATGTAAACAGGTATTATGAAGATGTAAGTCGATTATTAAAAGTCGTTTTCGAAAATAGGAAAAGAGACTAAGTATATTACTTATTATTGAAGTGTTATGCACACATGTATGAATTTGACATTATTCCTAATTTGTTAATCATGAAGTCGCAGTAATAATTTAGTTGAAGAAAATTAAGATAAGTCAAATAAACGGTTTAGGAAAAAAATGTTCTCTGATCGGTTACGTCATCATACATTAATCAACACTCTGGAAGTATTTGATCGTCTCAACTTTGTGAACCGAGTTCACGAAATGAACAACTGAGTTCACGAAGCAATAAAGAAAATTCATTTACTAGGAAAATGCTCAAGGCGTGTAGATAACTGTCTAAATATGCATTTCATGTGTAATCCTTCTTTGTAACTCTCTTCGGAAACGAGAAACACTGACTTAATAATCAAATGGTGTATGCATTCCCGTATTTCCGTCCAAATTTTCTACTTTGTATTCTTTGTTCTTATATGGTTTCGATCATAAGAGCATTTCTTACAATGAAATTTGTATACAAATTTATATTTGATAAGGTAAACGACATACGTTATGGATTCCGTTACATGATCTTGTTACAGCTAAATATACAAAGTGAGGTGAAATGGACATTGGTGAACTGATTAAAAGCTACTTCGTTGGTGTAGTCTATATTATATAATTATGACTAATAAAAAAAGTGTGATTAGTGATAAAGTTGGTGAAAACTGAAAAAGACAAATCAAGTTTATGATTTTATTATCCAACTTCAGTTCTTGATACTAAGTGAAATGATTATACGTGCAAACCCATAGAGCCGTGAAAATCTTTATTCTATTCGAAAAAATAGGGATGGATAAGATATATCAATTTTGATGATGATACTGAATCTACAGATTCGAATCACTCAATCTACGGTAAAAAATGAAAAAATACATATATTAAAAAAAAAATAATGAAAATATTTCAAAGAAACTGAGTTTTTTTTTGTTCGGGTTAGTCTCTAAAGAGAACGTTTCCAAAGGAAACTCAGAGGACAAAGAAACTGATTTCTTATGAAACCGGGCAAGACTCGTATTATTAATTGAAATATTTTTTTCATTTCAAAATTCATAGTAAACTACTTTTTTTAAGATACAATTCGTCTAAGAACTGCAGCAAATTCAAATCTAAAGTCAACCTATTATTGTCCGTAGCGAAGCAAAGGACTATAGCCCTGTTCATTTCTAGATCGGACCGGATTGATCGCAAATTTGTACCCCAAAATAATTGGTTACTGATGCGGTCAGCGGTCAGTCAAGCCGATCTACAAAAATTGGTGTTTTTCCCTGATCGATTTTATAATAAACATAATAAACAACAACTACGTGTTTTTGCCCTATAAGCTATTATGGATATATAAACCAATCCGATCAATCAAAAATTGTGCTCAATTGTAACTATGATCTGATTGGTTATACATTTTTTCGGTCAATCCGATACGATCTAAAAATGAACAGGGCTTATATATGTCTAACGCACTACGAAAAATGATCGATCAATCGATCATGTAAATTTCTTGTCCCTCACATGATCGGTAGCCAATGAAATCGCAAAGATTAGACGGTTCCGTTTCCTGGTAACTAAAAATACAACGTAATAAATTAAAGATATCATCCATGGCCGGAATGAGATATGCTTACTATCTAGTAACTTTCGAGCCGATTCAAACAAAAAATTACATTAATAAATGTCTAGTCCAATGAAATCAAATACATATCATATAATATACATTTTATCTAACCGTTCAAGAAGAATACATAACACAATAAAATAAAATGTATGATAATTTTATATTTGGTAAGATGCAAAAAATGTACAAAAAAATTTTTTCTTTTCCTAAAAATGGAATAAAGAGCATTTAATTTTTATTTGATAACATTTAGATCTCTTTACATAAGAAATAAAATAAAACTGAGATAACGAGGTCGTTAAGTTGATTAACTAATCAAAATCTAATTATAAATATGATATAGTTAAATAAAAATGATCGTATTCATGTTTAATTGTCTTAACTTGTCATTGGTTTGATAAAGCTCTTCGATTTTTTGCTCAATTAACTCTTTTTTGCTTAATCCACGTTTTATTTTTTCCAACTCATTACTAAATTCCTTAGAAGTAGAAGGAAGATTTGTAAAGAGTTGACGTAGTTCACTATTTCTTTGTTTACACTTATTAGAAAATTTACTTTTACTCTTTAACTCGTCTCTAAACGTCTTAACTAATGTTTCCATTTGCTGGATAAGTTGAACCTGAGCTTGAATTTCTGGAATATTTTTTAATTCTTTTCAAATCTACTTCCGAAATTTTCTTTTTGCGTTTCTAACTCTACCTTTAATTCCTTAAGATTTTTGCTCAACAATAAAATTGTATTCTCCATCTCTTCGACATTGATACAGATATTTGGGAAAATAAGCCTTTGACTCTTGAAGACTTTATAGTTAGCATTAAATAACTCAACTTTTCCGTTTTGTAATTCCAGAGCATTCTTAACTCTAGAACAAATTTCTAAATCTTCATTTTCTTGAATAAGCTTGAGCAAAGATGCATAAACTTCGTTAAAAGAAGGTAAGATATTATTATTATCATATATTAGATATTCTTGAAATGCTTTATTGCTTTCGGTAATAGACCTTATTTTAGAGTAATTGCTTACAGCCGTGACTAATCCTCCTAAAGCTTTAGGAATTCCGAAAGTTAGTTCAATCTCTCCCACACTATTTACAGCTCTACCAACTTCTTCGATAGCGGCATAACCACTAGAACCTGCTAATTCATTATAACAATTTTGTAACTCTTTAATGGTTCTTTGTCGACAATTTAAAAAAGTTTTTTTGGATTCCAAAAATTCATTGGCTTTAACGATAATCTCTTTTTCAAATTTTTCTCTATCTTCTTTTTTCCTCCCTATAATTTTCTCATATTTTTTTTGCCAATTAGTCTACCCGGTCTTGAGTGATTTCCAATGAGTAATAATATTCATCAACTTCTTTGCGCTTTTTAAAAATTTGTTCTAAGACAACTAAACAATAAATCTCGCTGGCTACTTCTCTCCAATTAGTATCGCAATGAATAGTTATAATTTCGCTGCGAATTTTTACTTCCGAAAAAAAGTTATTTACTTCTTGTTTTTGTTTTTCAGCCTCTTCTTGGATATTAGCATTCGTATAGATGGTACCACCCACGACTATTACTAGTTGGTTTGAACTAGTAAGAAAAGGAAAGGAAAGAGCCCAATTTTCATTATGTATAATATCAGCTTTAACATTAGGGTCATTAATAAAAAGAGACCATATCCACCCCCTATACCATATCGTCCCCATTTCATATTAGCCTTTGTAAGTAAATCCTGAAGAAACTCACTTTGGCTTAATAAATTTACAAAATTTTCATCTCTTGGAGTATTTTATTAGGCTTGTATCCAACTAAAAGTGATTTTTTAAAAAGATATTAGTTGATTCTCATTATACCATACTTTAATAAGATAAATTCCGCTTGTCCGTATCACCTTACATTCTTACAAGGCTTATCATTATGCATAATTTATTTGTGAGACAGGGAACAAGCTCAAAGTGTCATTTTCATTTTTCCGGAATTAGTAGTCGGCAAAACCCTGAACCAACCTTATCTAGCTAAATACGCATAATGTATGACAGAATAAAGTGCCCCTTTAATACGTTCTTTGAACCTTAATCTTACATGGCTCGTGATGCATGCATTCGATAAAAATTTCTAGGTGCTGTGAGGACAAAATTATTATGGTTAGTTTAATGGCACAGTTTAATATTTTTTTTAGTATATAATTTAATTTAATTTTAGTTTTTAAATTAGAAATTTATATAAGTTTATTGGGTTTAGGTCCGCAATAACTCTAAATTATCTGTGGTTATAGAAGATAGGATTTATCACATTATTATAAAAAGAACTTGCATATCGGCGGATTTGCGTAATTTGACTATAATAAATTTATTATAATAAATGGTTCTCTTAAATCCGCTGATATGTTGGGCAAATGTATTATGTGAAACATTTCAGTTATTAATAAAGGATTATATTTTATCAAGGAAATTGAACTTGTAAGCGTCCTGGTCATAATTCATTGCAGGCAATACTGCGGGTTGTTCGACAGTTTGGTGCATCCGGTATTTTGTCCGCATACAAAGTACGAAAGAAGGGTGAAAGTAATCCTATCTGAGTGAGAGAGAAGCATTAGAGATAAAGAAAAAGTTTGGAAATTTAATGGTAACCTTAGTGGTTAAGAAAGAAATCGGAAAAATTAATGTGAACTTTAAAAAGTTCTAATGGGAATGACAGTAAAATCAGATGATAAGTCACATGATATGAGAAAGATTGGACGTTAAGAGAGATTAATTAGGACCCGAGTGGTCAAGGGAAAATTAAAGATATTAATGAAATAATACTTGTGTGATTGAAGGGATCTGAGTGATAAGAAATTAAATGAATAATTAAGGAGTTAAGCTAGTCACCAGGGGGCAAGTGAATGAAACATTAGTATTATACTAAGAACCAATATGAGTAATCTACTCATAATGAAGTAATTCATGGTCTTAAATATCCGTGGCTATCTAGTTTAAAGGGATAATACGTTAAAAATGGTGTTAGTAATAATAAAATAATGTAAAAGTTTGAAAAATAAGAGTTATAATAAAATGGTGTATTATGAATGTTACGAAAGGTCATAATTATAATAAAGTTATAAATGAATTAATGTAAAATAATGTGAAATTAGAGAAAATTATGTATCAAGGGATAATAAAACTTAAGAATTAAGCGTTATTAATGAAGAAGAATTAAATATTTAGAAATAAAACTTGGAAATTAAATGTTATTGGAGTTAATTAAATATGTTGGAGCGAAAAGTTGGATAAGACTGGTTCTATATCGAAGTACTGTATATCAAGCGGGCCCATGCCTTTTTACTTGACATAAATAATAATTGAAGCATTTATTTCATTGGTAATCCCCTGTCACATCCGAGTATACCAGTTATTTATAAGAATCCAGGTCATAAAGTAACTAACGGGTTAAATAGGAAATACCCGTTTTATATCCGTTTTATATTTTAAGGTTGATCCGAGAGTAATTTGTATAATTAAAATTATACAGTATAAAGAAAATAATATTGATACTAAAATCTCCATGGTAGTTATTAAACTTTTACACGACTATGCTGAGAGATTATTTTCAGATTCAGGTAATTATGCCACTGATAAAAGAGGATGTATGAGGACAAATATTACTAATTTGCAAATTTATTTTAATTATGCTACTGATAAGATAAATGACACTTCATTAAATTATTATTTTTTCTCACTTCAATCATTTTATATATATAATCCTTATTTGAAAAAAATGAATTGGTTTTATATTTGTTTCAATAGAAAGTAAAAATATTTATGTAATACCCATCAGGTAATCTTTTTTTTATTGGCTGATTCTGAAATTCTTGCGCTAGTCGTACTAAATGATCTTTTGAAAATTGCAAGTGATTGGCCGTGTTTAAAAATAACCATAGCCGGGAAATTCTATTTCCCGAAGGGAAAACACTTGTTATTTCCAACTCCTTATGAAATAAATAATACTTATGCCATGAAGCGACTTTATATTATTTAATATTCATCATTAGTTTTATATTTGGAGCGTAATAGTTCTTGTTATCATTATAAAATATTATATATTCAAGCGCATTAGAAAGAAATTGTACCAGGTCGTTTACAGGAAAGGAAAAAGTTTTATCGGTGGTATTTTTTACAAAATCTTTGTTTTTATAAAGGTCGATATATCTATGCTTTTTTCCGATGAAAGTTGGTGAATCAACAATCTATATTTATAAAGGAGGATTTAAAGTGAAGCCTAGAAAATTAGAGATACGCAAGGAATTTTTTAAAATCAAAATATAATAAGAATTTAGAAGATACGACAAAGAAGATCAAATATATGAACGAGTTAAGAACATAGAAGCGTTCAAGTTTTTCGAAAAGCTTAAGTGAAATTGTATAAGCAAATTTTGACAGAATCAAATTTAGAGAAATTGAAATAATAATATAACGGACGTAGCTAATAATAATGCTATAGAAACCTTGTTCCAGATTGAATGCTCAAATTTGAATAGTAAAGAAATTTTAACGAATAGTACCGAGAAAAAGCTTGTAGCTACAAATCAAAACGAGAAAGATAAAATTTTATTAGAAATATTGGAAAAGATAGAACTTGGAAGAAATATAACAATTATTTGGAGAAATGAATCAAACTTCCTCAAAAAAGAGGAAATTAAAGGGCATGATAGTAATGGAAATACTAAACAGAGTTCAGAAAATAACATCATGAAAAAAAGAAAATTCAAATAAGAGAGAACAGGATGTGTTTGCCGAGGATAAAAATAGTGAAAGATGAATATTAAATTAAAAATTCAAAGATGGAGAGGCTAGCGTAATTTAATACGACAAAAAATTCTTATGTCGTAAAAATCATAATCACGACGGCTAATTGAATTTTTATTAAATTTTCTCTAGTTGATATTTTTTTTCTTATAATTTTCTTTTCTATATGCATTAAGCTTTTAGTATCAGATAGTATAAGAATCTTACGCTTCAGTGTGAGATACAGTATCCCATTACTAAGTTTTTATAATGAAGTCTTGGCATCGAAAAAAGGGTTAAGGGTATATATATATATTACCGAATATGATATTAATATTAAAAATTTCAAGTTAAATTAATTTGATCTTGCTGTACTGTATTTTTAATTTTGAAAATGTGAATATATCTTTAAGGTAATATTCACATTATAATTTCCAATAAATTATGTATTAATAATTACACGTCATATATTGATAAGATATAATTGTAAAATTCGTACGAATCGAATTTATGCATTACTAACACATATAAGTTTTAAATATAAATGATGATATCCTTTCTTATAATATCTGTTAATTTAAGCCCTTATTTTTTATTCGAAATTTCTTTTAATGGAAAAATATTTTTAAAAATTTTTTTACATAATGACCCTGGTATTTTGTGTATATAGCTTGTTCACGCTATTTGGTCTTCATAGTTTTTAGTAAAAAGTCCAATAAATGGGGATGTATTTTAATATCAAAATGATTTTAAACCTCTTAACGGAATTTTGTCAAACTTTCATAAATTTTCATACTATAATGATAGGGTAAAACAAAATACAATTAATCGATAAAAATATGATATTTATGTTAAATGTATAAAGAATTCAAATTTTATTAATTATTATCAGTATTTTATGTCATCATTTTTGCCAGAATGTTTGTGAATTTTATATACTAAGAGAAGAAACTAAAAAATACAAAGGATTAGTATGATGGCAGACATATAAACCCTATGAGAAAGTACTATCATGCAAGAGAGCAAGGTGCATAGAGGTACTGACCTCATACAGTCATGTGCTATAGTTGTGAAATATCTACACTAAACACTATATATAATTTTTTGTACTGTACAATATATATATACTACCGAATGAGTACACATTAAGCTTATATTATTGGTTTACCCTCATCAAGTTTTAGTGATAATGGGGTATGACCAACCAGTGTTTTTTCGCATGATATATCAATTTTTGGAGAATTTAAGGCTAACGAAGAACTAAAGGTTCCCAGAGAATTAAAGGTTCTCCTTTTGGAAAAAAATCCCAAACAGCTCATTTTTGAAGAATTCAAGATTAACGGAGAACTAAAGGCTCCCAGAGAATTAAAGGTTCTCCCTTTGGTTGTCGGCGTGTTTCTCTCTTCTTCATTATCTGTTTTTTCACTTAATATTATCTCATTTGATGTATCTGTTTTTTGTGTTAGTGTATCTCTTTCTTCATTTAGTGCTGATATAACTGTTTCTTCATTTAATGTTGATGTACCTGTTTTTTCATTTGGTGTTAATTTTTTATTTAGTGTTGATTTTCCATTCAGTGTTGTTGATGCATTCGGTATTCTCTCATTTTCATTTGATGCTAATCGATTCGTTGATACAATATTAATGCGCTTCTTAATCCATTTCTTTAATTTCTTATACTAAAAAGAAAAATCAAGTCAATTTACTTGCTTGTTAGTCGTTATAAATGAAGAAAATTTATTTTTAATAAATTAAACATACACAATCTGGAAAATGTGGCGGTAACATCATTTTTTTTTTTTGAAAAAAAAAAAATAAAATATTGATAGTCGATATTTGAAATATTTGGGGAAAGAAAGGGTAAAAAAAATGAAAATTAAATAATGTCTATATATTATTATCGTATAGGATAAACGCTATTTATCATTAGCGTAATAATGACGAATCGTTAGAAAGTTTACTTTCGTGATACTGTTTACGTTACATAAAAAGATGTCTTGGCGCATAATTCAATCAGCCTATCAGCATCTTTATGTTGTTCCCATTTTAAGAAAGTATACTATAAAATCAATTTGTCTTGTTATGATAGAATTCTATTTAACTTCCCACAGTTTTTTCTTTTTTCTTTTTTTTTAAAAAAAAAAATTTCATTCAAATAATGAAAAAATGTTTTCTAATTTCGGTTCTTTAATACCATTATTTGTCTTTATTAAGCACCCAAATAGGATTTAAATTTCGTGCGGAAAAATGAAAACCACTTTTCCCAGATCTTTTCTTGTCTTATCCAAAATTTTTTCCGAAAAAAAATTTCAAATAACGCACAAACCCCAAAAAAGAATAAAATGATATGCAGTTGAGTTGTGGTTTTGTTACACACCACATGAAATTATTTTCATAAGACAAAGATAGTTCGTTAGTTGATACTTGATACAGATTAATAAAAATATTATTGTTATATTTTTCATGCTTAAATACTTATATAAATATTATGAATAAATGTATTTGTAACAGCCTGTTACATATCTTATTTGTAACATCCTTTTTTTATTTTTTTTTAATAATAAATTTAGTATGTAGTTTACAAATAAAATTTTTATATGCAAAATTTAATTTGGAAAACTTTTACTTAATGTACTTAAGACAGTTTCATAGACAAAATTTCAAGTTATAAGCAGTTTCTTGAAATTTTTTAAAAAATTCTTTTGTTTTGGTTACACGACTGATCTTTTTGTTTTTGTTTACATTTCGCCTGATCTTAAATTTTAATTGGATAAAATTGGGGGTTGTTACAAATAAGACGCGTAACAGGCTGTTACAATTAGATTTATCCAAATATTATTACTCTCCGTTTTTATAACCAAAAAAATATTTTAATGTTATAAATTAGAATTTTTATAAACTTATAACAATATTTTTCGCTAATTTATTATTCGTCAATAATTACATTTGTATTGGTAAATTAAAACTTAAAAAATTTAAAATTCATTCTTCGAATTTATTTATTTTAAATCAACCAAATTAACGAATTAATTATAATAACTTAACACTTAACAAATATCCGAAAATACACAAACGTAATAGACATACGTAAACACATATAAACCTTTGGGAAATATCCATAATTTAAAATAAACCTATGCAATTTGTGGTTGTCATCATTAAAAGAAAAATCGCTGAATTTTATCTTCTATAATTGATTTGTTTGATTTGATGAGTCTAATAAAAAAATTATTATCCTTTATTATCTACAAATCAATAAGATAGAATCAGTATAATATAAATATAGTTAATGAATTATTCTACATACCACCAACGGTCTCTTTCGGTTGTTCCTGTTTTTTTTTACTGCTACTTTGGCTACTTTGATTACCTAAAAAAAAATAGAAATATTTATATGTGTGTGTTTTTCTTTAAAAAAAATTACGATTATTATATTAATTTTATTTACTATTATCCGAGGTATCTGAGACTTGCTTTTTTTTAAATTTTTCAAATACTTTGGATATTACTGAAAAGAAGAAATTTTTAAAATTATTAAATACTCGTTTTATTATTTAAAATATAAAATATAATTTAAACCTTTAGAGGAGCGCAAAGATCCACTACTTTTGGAAGTATTGCTCTTTGAAGTGCTGATATATTGAATAACTAAAAGAATTATTCATAATATTTAGAGAAAAATTGAAATTTAAACAAGTAAATATAATTAATAATTAATAAATACTCACAATCACTTGTAATATTAAAATCATATGGTCTACTATGAAAAGCTATTAAAAATAAGCATTTTGAAAATTAAATGTTTAAATAAAAATTTACATAAAAGTTGATAAATTCTCTTTACCTTCTTGTTCTTCTGTAAACAAGAAAAACAATCATTTTATTATATTAATAACAAATCTTATATATATCTATGCATAACTTTAAAAAAATAATAGTTCAAATAAAATATACCTTCCGTTGCATTTTTTGGTTCAGGTAAGTTTTCAAATTGATGCATTTTACTTGCAAATGATCTACTATCCGTATAAGTGGTGTAATTTGTTTTCGAGCTAGATCTTGAACTAGGTTGTAAGAATGTAAAAGGATTAAGAAATTTTTTATTCTTTTTATCATTTAGAATGTTTAACTTGCTAAGATCCATTATCATTCCATGAAGCATATTAACATTAGGCCTTCTTAATGGATCAGCATCCCAACATTGTGTCATTATTTTTATATATTCTAAAGGAGTCCCTGATATTATTTTTGGTCTCATGCCATGAAGAATTCTTATTAAAAGATCAAAATCATTTTCAAAGTTAGCAAAAGGTGGTTGTCCAGATGAAATTTCCCACATTAGCATACCAATACTATATATATCAGAGGCATAACTACATTCTTTTCCTGCAATGACCTCAGGTGCTATGTAAGGAAGATTTCCATATGTACTTTTTATTGGTTTATCAGCTGGTCCACAAAATCCAAGGTCACTAATGTACCAATAATCATAATCTTCTAAATATAATATATTTCCTGAATGTAAATCTCTATGAATTGCATTTTCAACATGAATTGCTGAAAGTGCGTCAATTATATCGACAATAATTTTAATCTTTTTTTTCCATGTAAGTATATTATGTTTTTGTTTTAAATGATTTCTTAAATCTATACTCATGTGACACATTACAAGCATGTAATCTCCATCTGATGGATCTTGAGTTAGGCCATAGCATTGAATGATACCAGCCCATTTATTACTTATAGTTAAATGCGACTTTGCCTATTAAAGCTTTAAATTATTATTTTTTTTAAAAAAAAAAATAGTCATAAAAATTTTAAAATACATTAATTAAATTGCATACCTCCTCAAACCAACTTCTATTGGCATTCTTAACATTTTCCAACCTTTTAACAACTACTTTCTCTTTTCCATACCTTTCTAATTGTCGCTTTTCAGAATTCCATTCATTATAATGACCATCTTCCCAATATGCTGAATAGATTTCAGAGAAACCACCCTTAGTTAAGTATTCAATGCTTAATAACTTATTGTAAGGAACCCATTCAATTATCTTATTTGGACCAATTGATTCTAATTGACATTGTTGTATTAAGTTATCAATATCAACATTTCCTGATGTCCAATCATTAAATTTTGTTCTTAAATAATTTCTTATACAATATTCACAATATAATGTTGCTAAACATTCGTTTTGACAATTTTCACAAGTTCTCCTTTCCCCTTCATTATAAATGATTTTATCATATTCATAACGTCTACTTAAAATCCTTATTGCTTCATTTTTTTCATCATAATTCAGAGTTTCATCTTCATAAATGGTGTTTTTCCTAAATTCATATCTTTTTTTAAGAGTATTATTTATGGTATAGTCGGTTAATGTGTATGCTCTGCTAAACGCAGCAAATACTTTTTCATTTGGAATGTCTTTAATTTCTTGATCACGTATATTTGATATGGAAGCCATATTTATTTCTTAATTAAAGCATAAAAATTTATTAAGGCTGTACAAAAATGATTATTTAATTATAATATCTATGCTTCGCACCCCCGAGTGCGTTAATGTATAGTAAGTGATCATGTGATACCAAGAAACTGATAATTGTTTCAATTAGGAATAAGAGTGTCAGGTGAGAGTAAAAAAGAATCAATAAATTAAAAATTCCGTACTGAAAAATGTTGCTTAAATAATATATTTGTGACACAAGCCACAACTTGCATTGATAAAATTCCTTTTTTTGAATTCCAACGGTTACGGTGGTGAATTTTTATTGAGGCACAATTTTTTTTTTTACATTGTCACAAATATTATTTCGCCATCAGAATAAACTAAGTGATAAAAGGATAATGAATAGGCGTAAAAAAAAAATTGTCAGCGAACCATATTTTTTCTATCATGATTATGATTGTCAATAAGGTTTAAGTTTGATACTATTGTCTCCAAGTTTCACAATATCACATACAAAAAAAAAAATGAGATAATAATAATATGCTTAATGTATAATGACGATTATTATTTCTTTTTTAGGATAAATTTGCAAATCTCGGAGTCATTCAAACCGGGAACGATGAACACTTTCTAAAAAAAATTTTTTCTAAACGTTTTTATCCTTTTTCCTTAAAAATATACAGTCGACCCCCTATATAGTCACCCCCTGTATAATCACATCATATAAAATTCCCCTTTATAAGCACACCATATTTTGGCCCAATGTACTAATAAATATATTAGAAAAACCTCTTCTATAGTCACAACATATGACTTTTTTTATAATCACACCCTTTTTTTTCGGTCCCGAGGGGTGTGACTATAAAGGGGGTTGACTGTATATGCAGATTTCCTTAAAGTATTATCCCTAATTTGTCTTAATAATAAGTTCTCCCGTTGACTTTCACTCTTTCGTAACATCATTGAGTTGCTATTTTTTTTTTTAAAAAAAAAAATAATAATAATTCAATAAAACTATTTTAGAAATTTTTTTTCTTCATACTGTTCAAATAAAATTCGGATTTTTTTCAATACCACGATTTGTTGTTAAATGTTGTGAATGTTGAACGTTTATTTCTTTACTTTAAGGAAAAGAAAAGGAATTTTTATCATAAATTAATTTGTGAAACATAATTGAATCGTTTTATGGAATTTACACCAATCAAGATATGCAATGTCGATGACAATCACGTTTCTCACAAATAAACTTTAATATTTATTTGTATCACGAAAAAGATAACTTTATGCCGATTACTTAATGTTGGCCGGAATTAAATTTAACAAAAAAAAACAAGAAAGGGTTTGTCAAATAAGTCAATAATTTCAAAACCATCTTTGATGCTTTAAGTAAACGGAGTACAGTCCAATGATCTTTTTGAGTGCAATCATGTCAGATTTCGTGACAATGTGAACTTGAGTCAGGACCATTAATTTCAACCCATTGTTCTGATTGGTTACCTAAATTCTCATTCCCTATTGACAACAAGTAGGGATGATCACGGTTCACTAACCGATGACTCGAACCTGAGCCGGTTCATAGGCGGTTCGGTTCGGTTCAGTTCGCGAATGAACCGGGTGAACCATCGACTCAATTGATTTTTTATAGTATTTTAGATCATCTAATTAATGATAGTCAAAATTTAATATTGCTTATCAAAGCTAATTTTGGATTTCCAAAACTACTTCCGAAACTGGCCGAAATTACCAAAACTTAGCCGAAACTTCCGAAACTTCCAAAGCTGCCGAAATATTCTGGAAATCACGTGACATTCCATTTTTGGAATGTTTGTGTAACACATTTTCAGTTTTGTAAGATACAAAATTTCCTTTTTTTGGAAATTAGTGTAACATCACGTGACATTAGTTAACTCCGGCCAGAATTACAGAATTTAGCCGTGAGTTGATGGTTCACCCGGTTCACTCACGAACCGAACCGAGCCGAACCGCCAATGAACCGAACCGGTTCGGTTCGAACGAATAAAAAACCTTGCCAACTTTTTATCTGCATCCATTTTATCTAATGGTTGCTTGCTCTTCTGGACTTGTTGAATCTGAAATACTGGTTTGATTTTTTGATATGATAAAACTTAAGAATCTTTTAAATCAACAATGTCATTTTCACAACAATTACACTTTTGATGAGGTGTTCTTTGTCCATGTCCATCAACTTATGTAACTTTTCAAAGTGCTTACAGACGTCTTTTAATGGTGGTCTTCCATGAGACATAATTTTAAAAAAAGAGATCACTAAATGTTGCTTAAAAATACAAAAAAGTTGTTTATTGATTAAAAATATATTACGCAGTTTTATTATAATAATCATAACGATCAATGTTTAAAACAAAAAAAAAAAATTTCAAAAAAAAACTGATTTAAGTTGGTTTAAAACATCTTGTTTTAGTAATTCACCACACATTATTAGTAAAATAAACCTGATGCGGGAGAAAAGTAAATATTTTATTATTGTTTTACAAATATTTGACTCACTTAAGAATCTATTATCACTTATTATTTCTTTGCTCTTTTATGTTTTCCAGCTAATTTGTTTCTATCGTTAATATTGCTAATTATAAGATTCTCTCACTCCCTTCTATAAACTCAAATTTCCGAAATAAATTCCCATATTTATATCATCAAATTTCTTAAAAAACGAATATTCTGGAAATGAGACGTAACGGTAAGTGTGAATCAGTAACATTACATTCATCAATTGCTAATTTATGCTGTAGATTCGAAATTATTCAATTTATTTTTTGATTAATCGAAATGACGTACAGACTGTATAAGATAACTAATGTTGATCGTCTGGCTGATTAGGCGGATTCCCTGACTCAATTGAGTAATCCGTTCTTTACTTTGCTTAGGAGTTACCCACTTTGCAAAATAAAAAAAATACACCTCTCTTTTAAAGTCTCTTAAGCCACTTTGTACTTACAAAATCATGTCTACTACAAGTACTTCTACAAATCCTTATCCTTCGTATGAGGAAATAAAAAAATATGATACGGAACAACTTTTGACTTTTTTACAAAAAAACTTGACCCTTAGCGAGAATGTACTTACAACTCTTCGTCAACAGAAAGTTGCTGGCCTTGACTTTTTCCAATGGACTAAAGAAATGCTTCGTAATAAGCCTTATAACCTTCCTGATGGACCTGCAACAAGACTTGTAATGATAGTCAATGATTTGAACAGTAAGTTCTACCATATACTGTAATAGTTTAACATTTGTACATCTCGCGTGGTCTTTTGTTGCAGTATTTTCGTACTGCTTTTTTGCCATTACTTTTTAACGTGTGCATCACTATTTCCATTATATTCAGAACAATATATACAGGAAAACCGGGAATTGAAATGTGAGAATTTCTTTCTTAAGTTAGGAAATACACAAAATTCTACCTCCGTGTACAGATTTGTGAGAAAACAAGGAATTTTTAAAATTTGGGAAATCGAGGAGGATCCCAGTATAAGACCACAAAGAGGAATTGGCGAAAATGTATTTAAAGTCTACCCTTGTGCTCCTGCTCAAGGATCAAATCGTGTAATCCAACCATTTTGTAAGGATGTTGTGAGCGAAATTAATGAAATCGTAAAATCGATGCACTCAGGTAGTTTACGTGTATATAAAGATGTAGATGTTCGCTCCCGGGTGAAAGATCAAGTTTACGCTGATATAATAATTGGCCATGCCGATTTCCACAAAGAATTGACAAATAACCCACCTGATTTATCAAAGGGTTTGGGTTGGGAAGTCAAGAGTAATTTAAGTGATAGAGTAAAAGCAAGTAAAGGGAAAGGTGAACTAATAAAATATGCCAGGGAATACCTTTCAGCGATTCCACCTCTAACAAACGTTTTCTACGGATGTTTAACCGATGGGAGGCTTTGGCAATTTGTGAAAATTCAACTTATATTAAATGATATTGATAACCTAAAAGTGAAGTTTGAAGAAAGTCCAACTTATGAATGGAGTATAGAGACGGCCTCACTTATCGCCAGCATAATTCTTCGTTATCATGATGGCCTGTTGACGAGAGCTTCTGGAGAATCTCAAAATAATGATGAAACGTATATGTATAGAAGAAATAAGTCATTATTTTCTCCCGAAAGTCTCTTGGCTTCTTTTATCAAAGAGGGTATCTATATCAGATTATACTCTGGAAATTGTATTCATGTGCAGATTACATCTCACCTTGGAAATGGAAAAAAGTGTATAGTATTTTTGGTACAAGTACATGATTATGAAATAAGGGATGCCGTTTTGAAGGTAAATTAATTTCTGAGAATTTTTCATACTACGTATAATAAACTTACCATATGAGTCATTTTTTTATTTAAAGATTGAAGTTCTCAAAGACAGTGAAAACTCTCAAATTTACCGTGAAATATCAGCGTTACATGCATTAGGTGATCTTTCTTGCGTTCCCACAATTCTCTTCGAAGGTTATACAATGGGTGGAACCATGGCTTTACTAACCGATTTTGCGGGACAACCTCTGGAATCATGGATTTCTGATAATGATAATATAGATGATTACACAATTTTTCAAATAATTCTGGATCTATTATCGTGCTTGGAGAAGATACATACCCGTGGTTACACGCATGGAGATGTGGCCATACGAAACGTTATACAGAGAAATGGTCATTTTTATCTTATTGACTTTGGCCTTGCAACTCTGTTGCAACTTCTCATTAATCCATGTCAAGCAATTATTCGGGACTACATTTATTTGTGTCGAATCATTGGAGTTATCAAGTTTAGAAAGAAAATGTCGTTATTAGAGTTAATAGATAAATTGGATGGAGAGTTTAAATCATTTGTTTCAATTATCGAGAATGCGAGTAGGTGGAAAATAATTAACGAAGAGAAGTGGTTAGAAAGGTTTGGTGCTGAAGTTAAACAATTTCATGAGAGAGGCCATCACTTGCCTAGAAAGGCGTTGCTGGATATAACAGAAATTTAATAAATAAGACTAGTACGCGTCTGTCACACGGTCATTTTATATTAGTAAAAACAATGCATTTAATGAGATAATTCATAGTAGTGTTGTAGGTATATGAATATGACAACGTCACTAACATGTCCGCGTGAAAAATGTTATAGATTCGAAAATTAGTAGTGATCATGTGCGCCTAATACAATATCCCAATCTGAAAATTCTAATGTATATTCTTGGTAAAAACTAATATAAATTATAAGAACTATTCTTCTCATTCAAAATTTGTATAAATTTGAATTGTTATATTCTATAGTATAAGATATAGAACATTAAAAAACTATAAATCATTATAAACAGGACCCTGGACATCTTTATCTTTTATTAAAGAGAAATGAAAATTATTGAAGCAATGGATCGCAAATATATTCATACTACAGAAATTTAGCAAAAGTAACACGAGGAACAAATAGATAATTTTAAGCAATCTGTATTAAAATTTTAAGAATTCATAAGATAGTCTGTAAAATAATTCCACCAGCTATATAAAAAAAATAAGTTTCGAATTGACAAATTATATTGTGCCACAATACTTATATATGTGATTTAAATTATGATTTTGATTTTATGAAATAAACGACATAAACATTGAAATTAGTAATTCTATAATTTTTATTTGACGTTTAAAATTGTTAAATTTAACGAAAAACAGAAAGAAACTGCAATTAAAAACCAACTTTTCCGCTCTAAGTAAACTTGCAGAACAGAGAAAATTACATATACTATATGTTTCTTTAAATTTTTTTATGATTTTTAACATGACGACAGAACGGAGGTACAACACTATGAGTAATAAAACTGAACATTCTAAAAGTTGAAACCTAATCACACGCGTGAGAACACCCCGCCTAAAAAACAAACCTCGAACTAGTATTTAGGCATGACTAGTTTTATCAGAGATATTAAAAGAAAAAATAAAAGAATCTTCTATATAACTAAAAAAAATTTGGTCATGTTTAGATTACCGTATATAAATAATTTGAATTGTGTAATACGAAACACATGATCTGCCGCGCCTAATCTATTTCATATTAGGTTAGTATTAATATACTAAAAAAATTCCCTGTGTAACCTATTTTGAATTGTCTAACACATGATTTGTCTGCGCCTGAACTATTCATATTCATATAGTAGATCAGTAATTGAAGTTTTACTAATATTAATAAGTAATATATAAGTAATTGTTATCGGTCATGTTGTAGATGATAACTGATTTACCACTAGGATTGCTATGTATATCATATGGCCGAAGGCCACATGATAGAGTAGCATCCTAGTGTAAATCAGTTATCATAAACATGACTGATAATAAAGTTATTGGATATGTATGACGTAAGCAACTGAGACTTTTTTCGTGTATCTTATTTATTATTTTATAATAAAGTGATCAAAATTTTGTATATCACTAATTATGAAGCGACCAAAATTTGTGTATCACTATTATAAAGTGATCAATAACATACGTAAAAAATGTCCAGTGCTTACNTATTTTTTTAAACCGTAACAGTTAATAGATTAAACTTCAGGATTTTTTTTTTGTAACAATAGATCGAACTTTGGCCTTTCTTTTGTTTAATAATTTTTTATTATTATTTTTTTTAATAGATCGTTTAGTAACTTTTTTTTATTTTCTTAATAGATCGTTTAGTTATTTTTTTTTAGGATTTTTTTTAAATTCAGAAATTTTTTTAACAACAGATCAGATATTTTTTTCATTAAAAATTTTTTTTTCTAACAATAGATCGGACTTTGCCCTTTCTTTATGTTCGGTACTGACATTTACTAATATTAATTAGTAATAGTTAGTTCCCGGTTATAAAAAAAATTTACTTTTTTTTTGCTGGTAACTGGCGTCATTCTAATACTATTAAGTAATAGTTCTATCGATTTTTTATAGGCTTTGGTGATAAGAATAATTTTTTTGTAACAATAGATTTGATAGTAATGGAAATTTTTTTTTGATATAAATTTTTTTTTAAATAGATTACTAATGATATAATCTTCTGTAATTATACATTCGTATGATGGTATTCTTGATGATGAGAAATTTTTTTTTTTTTTTGTAACAATTAATTATTCAGAATTGATTTTGTGATGAGTCTGTAAACATATAAATAAACCATAAATTCTATAATACTGTTTAATATTATAATATTTGTATTAAGTTATTATATACCTCACATTATTGTATTGTAAATATTGTAAATATAAATTACTGTATGTTCAGTATTATACAAAAATTAAATTGTTAGTCTAATATTGAATACAAATCTACATAACTACTTCAGTTTTTTATTAACATGCAAAAAATTTTTCTAATATGTAAAAGAATTTTTCTATATAAAAAAAATTTTTTCCAAGAGTACTGACTACCTTTCAGACCCCTTTCTTAGGTTTTTTTTCACCTTTTTAAATTTTTATTTTATTTAATTTTATTATTTATTTTATTTTGAATTATTTATTTACTTTCAATTCTTCAAATTTCTAATTACAAACAAAATTAGTATTATATAAGTAACAAAATTTCTAGAATTTTCTTTTCAATACATAATACTATAATATGCAATTAATATATATCCCGGCGCAGCGCGACGGTTACGGCTAGTCTAAACTAAAAAATAAATGTTGATTATATAAAAAAGTGTCTATCGAATCATAAGTATTGATAAAAGAGTTCCACCTCCTGAATGTAAGTACAGTAATTAGAAATAATATAAACCATCCACGACGGGGTGAAATGTGTTAACCGTTTGATAGCGTTCGGGTATAGTAAACAAGAAGAAATAAAACTATCTTCGTTATTTCTGATTTGATAAAAGTCACTCGCCGCTTCCTCGACAATGTGTGATTGATCGTGTCAATCATAGCTGGACAGAAGCCTAGGTGTTGATTCGTAGAGGGCATATTATAATGTCATTGGGTAAAGATTTGGGTAGTGAAATTTAAGGATATCGCTACATAGTAGTATGTGGTTGAGACTTTTTATTTTGTAGGCACCTAATTTGGATTTGAAATTTCCACATAGTTCCGTGGTTATGGCGATCCAAGATTTTGTCATGGTCCAGTTGATATCCGAGATTCTGTGATTGCCGAAAACCGGTGGTAACCTTTTATTTTGTGATAAAAGAGTAAAAAGTAATAGCTTCCATGATATGTTGAGCGTATTTTCGTCAATAGGGTCAATGTGATCCCGTAACGGTGTCATTAACGCGTCCGGGATAACCTTCGGAATTCGGATTGATGGTAATCGGGGTAAAAGTCGACCTATGTCATTAGCTATATCATTGTAGTAGTCGCCAGAGTGTGCCTTGACCTTGGTAAAGGTAACATCCAGGTTCTTTGAAGAAATTAATAAATCAATTAGCCTCCAAACGTGGTGATTGTTTATCTTTAAATTTCGTCGTTGGGAAGTTAATCGGTTTGTGATTTGTTTAAAAATGTGAATGACGTTGTTTAAATCTGTACAATATTAACGAAGCTATTATTCGAACAACATATAAGAGCTGTGAGTGCATCGTATATGTTTTCCAACCCTGCCCTACTGTTCAAAAAGAAACACTAGGCATAACCAGTGTTGTTTCTTTTAAAATTATTTATTATATTTATCAAAAATCTTTCACATAATTTTATAAAGTCACGTGAGAGTACATATGTGAACGAATTAAGAAACTTTGTTATTTTTTTTTAAATGTCCATTATATAAATGGCGCTATTTTTAAATTATGAATGGTTAAGTTGTTGCTTTAATTGAAAATTTTACATTTGCCGAAAATCGATCTACAGTACATTATTTTTTTAAGAAAATACATATTAAATTTTAAAATATTAATGTAAATAATAGAACAATAAAGATATGAAAAATATAGTTGTTTAAGAATCCCAAAAAATGGCGGAATTAGTGATTTTTCATAAGTTTGTACGCAATAACTGATATGAGAGTTACACGAATATTCATAAACAGTCAAATAAATATTTTGTTTCAGATTATGAAATCACCATGACGAACTTCCTTTTTAATAAACTTTCTTAACGCCATTTTATAAAATCATTTTTCCATTCCCAAAAAAATGGTTTCGATATCTTAGATATCATCCGATAAGCATTAATTATTTATTTTCATCCATATAAATAATTAATAAAGATTTTCTAGAAAAAATAATTATATTTATAAAGTGTAGATTTAGTTGATATACAGTATCATTTCAATTATTTTTATTTTTTTTTTTTTTAACAGTATCATTTCAAATTTCTCATTTAATTTTTTTTAATTGTTTGTGTACAATGATTATATCATAAATAGATAAATAGATAAATATTTATTTATTTATTTATTTATTTTGGCGTTCGTATTAGTAATTTTACGGGTCATATTCTTTGCATAGAAATTAGATTTGGATACGACTCATTACATACGGATAAATAGATCCGTAGCTAAGAATATATATATATATATTTTAAGGTTAAAATTAACTTTATTACGAGATATATTCTGCTAAAATATAAAATTTTGTTACACATAATAATTTATGTCGTGCTAATATTATAAGGAACGGGACGTTAAATAAAATAAGGTTTTATTCAATAAGGTTTTTTTTTTGATATATTAAAAGATTTGATAGGATCCCGATAGTTTGCGTACAACGGCATGAAAATCTTTTCTTTTATAGATAAAGCCTGATTACCTTTTTGGATACTGACCGAAATTATCATAATTCCGGCCCTGATAAAAATCGTACAACTAATAATATATTAATAATGTTCCTTTCCATTTCTTTGTGTACAGTAAATTCATAATTTTTAATACCAAGTATTTTAAATCTTTAATACTAGCTCATGGGGCATATCTGGCCATTGCACAGCGGTTAGATTTATTGTTTATTTGTATCTTCCGATCTGATTTATAAAGATAACTTGCTCCTTTTGAGTATAATGTTTGAAAAATAAAAAAAAAAACTTTAATACTGTAGTAATAATAATAAATCAATAATTCATTAGCTTAATATTTTTTTGCGAACTTAATATCTAGATAATTTAAAATATCATTACTTATTATACATTAATAATTAAACTATATACTGTAGAAAAACGCAATTAGAATTTAAAATAAAAGTATAATGTTCCTATAAAACGTTTTCGAATTTTGCCAAAAACCAACGTTGGTCCCAATTAAGTGGGTTATTGTATAAAATTTAAATCAACTAATCAACCTTAATCATAAATCTTAATTTCATAAATAATTTTATAAATACATAGAATGAAAACAAATATTCGGGGATATACGGAGATTATAGCTCAAATAAACTTATGGATGATTCAATACGATATTTGAGGAAAAAAATCGCTGGATTTTATTTTAGATTACTTTCTCTATGCTGGTAATGCATTTCATTATTCGTTATAATCTGCAAATCAGATTAGATAGAATTAGAATAATATAAATATATGATTAATGATTTATTCTTCATACCGTCAACAGTTTCTACCGGTTGTTTCTGTTTTTTCTTACTGCTACTTTGGCTACTTTGATTACCTAAAAATAATTGAAAATATTATTGTTGTTATTATAAAAAAATTGCGATTAATATAATAATTTATTTACTATTATCTGAAGTATCTGAGGCTTGTTTTTTTTTAAATTTTTCAAATACTTTGGACACTGGAAAATAGAATTTATGAAATTATTAAATATTCATTTTATTATTTAAAAAATAAAATATAATATAATTTAAAACCTTTAGAGCGTAAAGTACTACTTGAGCCACCACTTTTAGAAGTGCTGCTCGTTAATACACTGTCGTCCTTTGAAGTAATAACTAAAAAAATTATCCATAATATTTAAAGAAAATTGGAATTTTAAACAAGTATATAATAATTAATGATTAATAAATACTCACAATCACTTGTAATATTAAAATCATATGGACTACTATGAAAAGCTATTAAAGAAAAGCTATTAAAAATAAGCATTTTGAAAATTAAATGTTTAAATAAAAATTTACATAAAAGTTGATAAATTCTTTTTTACCTTCTTGTTCTTCTGTAAACAAGAAAAACAATCATTTTATTATATTAATAAAAAATTTTACATATATCTATGCATATCTTTAAAAAAATAATAGTTCAAATAAAATATACCTTCTGTTGCATTCTTTGGTTCAGGTAAATTTTCAAATTGATGCACTTTACTTGTAAATAATCTGCTAGCTGTATAAGTGGTGTAATTTGTTTTCGAGCTAGATCTTGAACTAGGTTGCAAGAATGTAAAAGGATGAAGAAATTTTTTATTCTTTTTATCATCATTGAGAATGTTTAACTTGCTAAGATTCATTATCTTTTCATGAAGTAGATTAACATTAGGCCTTTTTAATGGATCAGCATCCCAACATTGTGTCATTATTTTTATATATTCTAAAGGAGTCCCTGATATTGTTTTTGGTCTCATGCCATGGAGAATTCTTATTACAAGATCAATATCATTTTCAAAGTTAGCAAAAGGTGGTTGTCCAGATGAAATTTCCCACATTAGCATACCAATACTATATATATCAGAGGCATAAGTATATTCTTTCCCAGCAATAACCTCTGGTGCTATATAGGGAAGATTTCCATATATACTTTTTATTGGCTTATCAGCAGGTCCACAAAATCCAAGGTCACTTATATACCAATAATCATAATCATCTAAATATAATATATTTCCTGAATGCAAATCTCTATGAATTGCATTCTCTTTATGAATTCTTAAAAGTGCATCAATTATATCAACAATAATTTTAATCCTTTTTTTCCATGTAAGAATATTATGATTTTGTTTTAAATGATTTCTTAAATCTATACTCATGTGACACATTACAAGCATGTAATCTCCATCTGATGTATCTTGAGTTAGGCCATAGCATTGAATGATACCAGCCCATTTATTACTTATAGTTAAATGTGACTTTGCCTATTAAAGCTTTAAATTATTAATTTTTTTAAAAAAAAATAGTCATAAAAATTTTAAAAAAACATTAATTAAATTGCATACCTCTTCAAACCAACTTCTGTTGGCATTCTTAACATTTTCCAACCTTTTAACAATTACTTTCTCTTTTCCATACCTTTCTAATTGTTGCTTTTCAGAATTCCATTCATTATAATGTCCATCTTCCCAATATGCTGAATAGATTTCAGAGAAACCACCCTTAGTTAAGTATTCAATGCTTAATAACTTATTGTAAGGAACCCATTCAATTATCTTATTTGGACCAATTGATTCTAATTGACATTGTTGTATTAAGTGATCAATATCAACATTTCCTGATGTCCAATCATTAAATTTTGTTTTTAAATAATTTCTTATACAATATTCACAATATAATATTGCCAAACATTCGTTTTGACAATTTTCACAAGTTCTCCTTTCCCCTTCATTATAAATGATTTTATCATATTCATATCGTTTACTTAAAATCCTTATTGCTTCATTTTTTTCATTATCATTAAGAGTTTCATCTTCATAAATGGTGGTTTTCCTAAATTCATATCTTTTTTTAAGAGTATTATTTATGGTATAGTCGGTTAGCGTATATGCTCTGCTAAACGCAGCAAATACTTTTTCATTTGGATTGTCCTTAGTTTTTTGATTGCGTATATTTGATGTGGAAGCCATATTTGTTTCTTAAATAAAGCATAAAAATTTATTAAGTTGTACAAAAATGATTAGTTGTACAAAAATGATTATTTAATTATAATATCTATGCTTCGCACCCCGAGTGCGTTAATGTATAGTAAGTGATCATGTGATACCAAAAATCTGATAATTGTTTCAAATTAAGGATAAGAGTGTCAGGTGAGAAAGAAAGAAACAAATAATTAAACTCCGTTACTGGAAACTGCCGCTTAAATAACTTGTCTGTGTTACTAATCTACGTTTCACGACATCATATTTGATGAATATAATTAACCATTACGTTGCCTGTCGTGAATTTCAAAAAATAAAATTACAACAACAATTGCATTGTTAAAATTTCCTTTTTTTGAATTCCGACGGTTACCGGTGGCTGTGGTGAAGTGCATGGATTTCATTGAGGCACAATTTTTTTTTTTTTTACATTGCCGCAAATATTATTTCGCCATCAGAATAAACTAAGTGATAAAAGGATAATGAATAGGCGTAAAAAAAAAATTGTCAGCGAACCATATTTTTTCTATCATGATTATGATTGTCAATAAGGTTTAAGTTTGATACTATTGTCTCCAAGTTTCACAATATCACATACAAAAAAAAAAATGTGATAATAATATGTTTTAATGTATGATGACGATTATTTTTTTTTTTTTTAGGATAAATTTGCAAATCTCGGAGTCAGTCAAACCGGGAACGATGAACATTTCTCTGAAAATATTTTCTAAACGTTCTTATCCTTTTTCCTTAAAAATATATGCAGATTTCCTTAAAGTATATTATCAAAATCACTATCATTTGAGTTGCCATTTTTTTTTTTAAAAAAAAAAAAATAATGATAATTCAATAAAAACTATTTTGGAATTTTTTTTTCTTCATACTGTTTCAAAGAAAATTTCGATTTTTTCAATACCGCGATTTGTTGTTGAATGTTGAACGCTTATTTCTTAAGTGAAATTTTGATCGATTATAAAAACAATTTAGTTAACTAGTTAATAGTCACTTAATTTTGGGTACAGTAACTACTCAACTAAATTAAAAAAATTAGGTTTCAACACTAATTATGCAGATAACTAAAATAGGAATATTAAATATATTAAGGAAAAAAAATATTTGCCAAAATAATTTTAAGAAAAAAAGAATAAATATGTACCGATTGTAACATGATCGGCTTCGGAATTTCGAATAATCATATGAAATCCAAAAAGAATTTATGTTTTACGCATTGTTATGGTTGGTTATCATGAAAAGGCTATATCATTTGTTTTTTTTTATTTTTACCGCTTATTCTAAGAACCGAATTTTTTTCGTAAAACAAAGTTATTTATCACTATTATACATACTGTATATCACATTTTATTTGCGCAGGTGCGTTAGAAAATAAACAAACCTATAATAATTTAGCTCCTTTATTATTTATAATATTATTTTTAATAGACATAATAACGTAATACAAAAAAAGTAATATAGCGAGATTAGCTAGATTTCACATATCAAATATATTCATAGTTTAAAATTTATAATTAAACATTGAAGCAGAAAATAATTTTGACACGTAATCATCGAGATTCTTTTAGCGCACAATCATTGCACAATCCTTACATCATGCGGTAAAGTAAAATAATGAATCAACACTAGAAAAATAGCAAATATTTAATAATATAATACGTTAGAACAAAAAAACATTAATTTTGTTTAAAAAATAGTATCGATAATATACAGTTATGATTTTTTTTACCCTAAACGAATCTAAAAAATGTGGGTTTGGATTTATTGAAGAATTACACCACGTTGTTTGCGATACGCCATTTGTTAGATGGTGGCATAGACTTGAGATTGTCCACATCGAACGGCGGTCTACTGAGGACTCCTGAATACACTATGAAGAAGGTTCGTCGTGACCCGTGATAATTAAATTAATTAGTATTTTGATACGACGTCTACATATATATAATCAATATCAATAATTTGTTTTAATTATCTCTCAATTTTATTAGCAATTTTTGATACTTAGACAGTTTCTGCTGCTTTTGAATTTTTAAAGATACAAAATTACTATACTTTTGATAATAATTATTTTAAATAGCAACTGAAAAAAAAATTTAGTATAATAAACTATTATTAATAAATGCATTTTGACTGACTTGAAGGAGCACGAAAAGCTTAAGATTTTATTCTCTTTATTGTTACCAGCAATTACTTAGTCTTCCTCTTCAGGAGTCGCAATTGATTTTAACCCACCTTGAAGAAATTACCGGCACGCTTACACTTTTAATATAATATATTTCCTGAATACTAATCTCTATAAGTTGGGTTGTTTTTTGAATGAATCCACAATAATTTTGAAAATATTTTCTTAAATCTACTATTCATATAACAAATAAATCTTTTAGTTAGAAAATAAACATTGAATAATGCCAGGCCTATTACTCATAGTTACATGTAACTTTGTTCCCGTCAACAAACTTCTCTTCCACATCTTTCTAACTGTTGCTACCATTCAATCGATAAATATCCTAATAGATTTCAGAAAATCATTTAGTCCAATTGATTCTAATTGTTACGATATCTTTTCAATTTTCCTGATGCCGAATTTGAACCTTTTGTTATTAAATAAAATCTTATACATACTGTATAATATCATTTTTATAAGTTTTCACAAATTTTCCTATTCCATTTTTATATATAATTTTATTTTTCATCTATAAGATAATAATTTTGTAATGTTTGGAAAATTAAGATGATGTGATATGAAATATTGTGATACCTTGCAATATTTATTATAAGCCAGCATTTTAAATATCATACATTTTTTAATATCGAGTATTTTGTATAGTAACTTGAACATGAATGTGAATATGACATATGGCTCTAACTTTTTATGTTAACAATCGGTTATGAAAAAAACCATTCTATGAATGAGCAGATCGCCACATAATTTATCCATACCTTTATTAACTAGTTCACATTTTTTGTGGTTACGTTATGTAAAAATCATTTTTAGCCACAAGGGAAAACACGTTTATTTCCATAATTGCAATTCTGATTCATGTACGGATTTTGTCGGGATCGTCAAATTTTGAGATAACTTAAATATTTCCCGAAACCAACGATCAGATTTTAACAATTAATGGTTTGTTTTGATAGTATTTAATAGAGCTAAAAGATTCCATCAGGATTAAATCATTATTGATGGATTTCATCCGTAGATTAGATCTACTTATATAATCAATGATAATACCCATCTTTAGATCGATATTGTTTCATCAATATGACGCAATATCACATCAAAAATAAAAAATTTTTGTCGATTTGAAATATGCAATACTACAATTTCTTGGCGCAATGGCGCATGTACTGTATGTATGTATGTAGCACAGTTACTCAGTACTGTGATGTAAGCGCATAAGCATATGGATATGCATCATATGTACGACAGTAGTATTTTTTTTTTTTTTTTCTAAAAGTGCTATCTTAATAATACTAGAAAATTCGCGATTATTCGAGAAAAAGCAAGAATAAATTAATAAAATTACGAATTTTCAATATTTTCGTTCTCTAATTTCATACGCATTCGATTTATTTGAATTCCTTGATAATTTTTTTTAATCCATCTATCTGCTACCTCAGGAACAAGTATCAATAATAGCAGTCTTATAGTATTAACAAATATACAACCAAAATACATAAAATGAAATAAAAAAATATGAAATTACATGAAAATTCTCAGGCATATTAACTTTGTTCTTTTCGATTTCATAATGTCAGTATTCTCGTAACATTTTCATAATAAATACTTTTAACCTTCTTTTACACATCTTTTTACACGCACTTAAAAAATTAGATCAGAAATCTCAAATCTCTTAAGGGATATCATCAAAATCTATTTCATTAAATGGCCTTTTTTAACATCATCAGGTATAATTATTTCTGCTATATGGATTCAATAGAATTCAAATTGTCCTAAGCTTCTAACTTTTTTTCTGATATTTGACCAGTAATTCTTTTAATTTGATACTAGATAAAATATGGTAATTTCTTCTTACAATATGGATATACAAACAAAATAATTAAAAATTTTTTATTTACCGTTACATTCAAAATATTTTCTTTATCGAAATTTTTAATTCGTGGTGTGTATTTAAAGTTTATTAGAGTTCTTACAGAAACATATGAAATTGAGGCTATGCAGTAGCTACGTAATTGCTATATATTATAAAAATAGCATAGTATTACAATATGGGTACCACCTAAGAATATATACCGATGTCTATAATGCCACTGCTGTATATACTGGCAAGTTTAAACCATATAGCAAACAAAATAACATATGGAATAATAATGTAATTTATTTATTGTAAAGATTATAATATATAACTAATATAAATTTATTAAAAATAAAGTTTATTGTTAACATTACAAAATCCATCTGGCAAAAAGCAGCAGATTCATCAAGTTCTCTTGTAAACAAAGTCAAAGTTGTTCTTTCAGTTATAACTTGTATCTCCTTATACTTTTTGTTGTGACTATAAACTATTTTAATTTTTTTTTCTTAATCCTAATGTTCAGACTTCATTTCTAACTAATCGGAATTGGTATTATAGTACCTATTCCAGACTTCCCATTTGTATTGTCATTATAATTTTTCTTTGTTAGATAAACAAACCCATTATTGCGTGTAAAACATATGATACGGTCCATTGCTTGAAATATAAATTGTAAATATGCAAATAAATTATCTATCGTTATCCATTTTGGACTGACATACACAAACTGTTTCTGTTTTTGATTCATTATAGAGAAATCATTGTCAACTTATTATGTTAAAAGAACCATATGATTATTATTAGTTTATTTATATCATACCACATCATCAAATCTAACGGGTAATCCACCTAAGAAAAAGAAAATTATCATCAAAAAGAAAATGAGGGCAAGTCTTCAATTACTAAATAATTTTTTCTTTTTAAAAAAGAAGTAATTCTTTAAAATATTTGGTCGTTATTTAGATCATGGCTCACCATTTTCCTCTGTTTTATCATCAAAAGTACACCTTATTCCACGTAACCACCCTGTAAAAAATCTGATCCGTGTTTTATCTTTCCATATTTTTTCCGTGAATGTATCATTTTAATGGAATTTATAGCCTTAAATTATGGAAATTTTCATCTCGCTAACACGGATATCCGTGAATGTATCATTTTCACGGAATTTTTGCGGAAGACACGGAGAAATACTGGAAATATTCGGATAAAAATTTTTTATAGGGCCAGAAATATTATAGATTGAAAATGGAACAACAATAAGAAAATTATTCATAATAATCGTTTTAGTTGTAGTTACATAGCGGCCATTTGTAAATATAAAAACAAAAGTAGATATAATTAAATCATCACGGAAATAGAATATTGGAATTAGATAGATCACCCATCTCCATTTGAATGAAAATGAAAATGGCATGTCTGTTCTCTTGCATACCGCATGATAAGAATCAGTGATAAACATATTCAACACCTATACAGAAATTCAATCTCCTTGGCCGCCAGAATTTCAATGTGCATTAAGAAATTGAAAGATTATGGGAGGTGATGTGAAAAAAAAAGCTTTGCCCATGCATCTCTTGATTAAATATTACAAAGAATTTTATAATATTTACCTAAGCGATCCTGAAGTCTCAAAGAATGTCAAAAATTATTCTTAATGCCTTTTTGAAACTGACAGCGATAGAAAGTATAGTAACAGAAGATTTTTTGTCTACAAATTTCATATTCAAGCTGAATTTCTTTAAAGGATCACTTCTTCCTATTCGATAATGAAGATGACCACCTGTGTGAAAATTGGCAATTCCATGACCAAAAACATGATTAAATTTGTTACACTAGAACCTAAATCATCCTTCTAATTTATAACACCAAATCTTAGCAGCTATTTTACAAATAATACATTCCACACATGACAGTATTTACAAGTACAACGAAAGAAAAATATGGCTACTTTTTATTGTGATTTATATTTTTACTCTACAGATTAATTGTCGGGTTTCTTAGTTTTTTCTTAGAATTTATTTTAAACCAGTGGATGGTTTGTATGAATTTCACACTGCAATAAATAAATAAATAAATGAGAATATTAACAATACTGTTGGAATAGTTGAGCCTTTAACATAAAAAATGGTTTAAATGATAAAATACACTTTCAAAATTATTTTCAATTTTTTTTCGTGTATATATAAAGTTTGTAAGAAAACAAATGCGTTAGTGTACATTTATTTGATCCAGAATAAATGAGTGTAAAAGTTATTTTGTTGATTTAATTTATATTTATTAATTAATAGTTAATAGTCTATCTTGGCATTATTATATATATATATAAAGATTTTAGCTAATTTCACTATAAA